AGGTGAGCAAACCTGGTATGTGTTCGCTCACCTCCCGATCTACTGAGCCGACCTGTGACAGTCTCATTGTCACAGGTCGGCTAGAACTATGAGGTGAGTGGAAATCACTCATCTCTTAGTTCTCCTTTTAATGTCACTTTAGGTTCAGTGCCTTATCACAAGTAACAAACTGTAGGAAATCTGTCCTTGAGTGTTCTTGTAAGTGCTACCTGTTGTAGTTGCTGCCTGCTAGCTGTAGACCCTCTTTAATAATATATCCAGGAAAAGATTTTCAGTTCAGTGAAGAATTTATATAAAACTATGCTAACCCAAGTCCCCAATAATGTTTAAGGCCTGGTTCACACCTTTCCGTTTTGTAGCGCGTTCAACGCCAATATATACTTTTGGCTGGTGAACTGTTCGGTGTATAGGATGACATCTGTATCCTGCTCCTTGTTTATAGGCAGGATCCATGCCAAGCGTATTTCTGGAGCCAAGCTGATCTTTTATGATCTACGAGGTGAAGCTGTGAAGCTGCAAGTGATGGCCAATTCTAAGTAAGTGTTTTACATGTAAAAAGTAATTGCGGTGCTTCGGCTGGAGCAGTCTTGCAAATGGGTAATGGCGGTCACAGTGGAAACGTGCGTCTAATGACAACAGTACAATTTCATGCAGGGCATAGAGTGGCAGCATTATCACACATATGCAGGAAGTGTTGGGAAGCCTGAATGTATGATATTTTTTTTCAGAGAGATAGGCATAAAATAATTCCTACCTAAGCTAATATTTAAAGTGACACACAGGGTCTCTTTGCATGTTAAAGAATACCCCAGATAGAAGAGGCAATGTACTTGTCTTTCTAGCAGCCCATTTGTTGCAGTGGTCGGGCAGCAGAGAAGAAGAGGCAAGTATTCGACCGGCCGTATTTGTTGAATACCGGTTTCCATCAACACATGCAGGAGTTCCTCTCACTGGCTCATATGTCATTACCGGATGCATGAGCCAGCCGGAGGAAACACTGCATGCTTTCCAGGAAACGCATATTTGACCCATCTGGCTGGGTAGGAGCAAAGAGGCGGCATCTCAGCAAATTGAATATGAGGATTTCGATGCACTTTAACTGGCTTTTCTCTCTAGTCTGTAACACATTCAGTGAACAGATTGGAAACTAAACCCAACAAAATGTCAGCCTTTGTTTAATCTGTCATTCCTGGGGAAGCTCACTGTTCTTGTGATTTGACTGATGTCTTGAATAAAAACAAGATGTGAAGCTAGTGGAAGAGCTTTGTAGATCTTGTATAAAGGGATTTCATTAGTCATTGCCATGGGAATGATTAGCAATATCCTGCATGTGTTTTATACTTATGTATGGCCTTTCAACGACTTGCACAAGCTGTTGAAAATATTTAATGACTCAAAACCGGTTCATACTGTGTAATGATCATATCATCCCCAACCCAACAGATTCTACAAATCCGAAGAAGAGTTTATGGCAATAAATAACAAGCTGCGCCGAGGAGACATTATCGGAATTAGAGGGAACCCTGGGAAAACCAAGAAGGGAGAGCTCAGTATCATCCCTAAGGAGATGACGCTGCTGTCGCCTTGTCTGCACATGCTGCCGCACCTGCACTTTGGTCTAAAAGACAAGGTACATCACACCGTTCTGTTTTAATAAACATGTCATAGTTTGCAGTATACTGTGTGACTGTGTTTTTTTTAACCTGCTTTGTTCACTGATGATTTTCTATTGCCCAGAGTTACTTGCCATTTCAAAAAGGTGTACTCAGCCATTGATGGAGGCCTGAATGTTCAGGTTCAAGGCTTTCACCATACATGATCATCAGTTTTTCTTTGCTTGTCTTGCAGGAAACCAGATTCCGACAGCGTTACTTGGATCTTATTCTCAACGACTATGTACGTCAAAAGTTTATCACCAGATCAAAAATTATTACCTACCTGCGCAGGTTCCTGGATGACTTGGGGTTCCTTGAGGTAACTAATCTCATCTTCTACATCATGTTTAACCTATGTGCCATTTTCACACGTGAGTGATTCAGCCTTCAGGCCAGTGAGACCCCACCACCAACACACCCATTGGTCTTCCCTCTATATCCAACCCCCACTGTACACAATGCAACTCTTAGTGTCCATGCTAGCAGTGAAATGGCACCTCCAATACACATAGCTATCCTCTCTACATCCTTTATACTATAGAGTCCTCTTCTTTGTATAGGCTGGACTATATGACTGGCCAGGAAGTCAGGCGCTGTGTAATGGCGGGCGCCCGGCTCTGATTTGCCCGGCATGGATCTGGCTTCCCGGCCAATCAGGAAGCAGGACGCCGCGTCATTACAAGACGCCCAGCTTCCTGATTGCCAAGAAAGCCGGCTCCATGCTTTCTCGTTATCTAGTGATGAGAAGCATGGGAACGTCTTCCCTGCTAATCGGGAAGCCGGGTGGAGCGTCTTTACACACCGCCTGGCTTCCCGGCTATTCAGGAAGCCAGGTGGCGAGTCATTACATGCCGCCTGGCTTCCTTAATGGGACTTTCGGTATCGGCGAATAACGGAAAAAAATATCGGTACTCGATACCAAAAAAACGGTTTCGGTGCATCCCTGGGATAGACCATGTATTATGAGCAACTTTGCATTCTATGTGTTTCTGTTGATAGATTGAAACTCCAATGATGAACATTATTCCAGGAGGTGCTGTTGCCAAACCTTTCATCACACATCACAATGAGCTGGACATGGACCTGTATATGAGGATCGCTCCTGAGCTCTATCACAAGGTAAGCATAACATGTTCCCAGAGCTAGAGGTGTGGGGTGAAACAGGATGGGTCACAGAGTTTATGTACAGATTCACTGAATGTGGTATTGTTGTATACATCAACCTCTTCATGTGCATTTATGTCTTGAAATACCCCTGTCATTTTCCTTTGGTACTGCACAGGCTCCAGCAGATGTCCCAAAAATTACTGGAAATGTTGATTGCTGGCACTGATACCTGTCTCATGTTCCTTTTGGCCAGTAAGGCCACTCTTCATGATATGCCAAAAAGGAAGGATTAGGGGATAGCGATTTGCCAGCAAGTGTCCAACTTGTTAATAGTGGCAAGTTTGAAGTGGTGCTAAAGCCAATTAGAAGCTTGTTTTTAAAGTATTTCAGTACACCCCTGAAAAAACCCCAAAACAGCTTGGAGCCTTCTGTAAAGCCTATTTTAACTTGCAGCCCATGAATGTAAGGCCTTGGGGTACTGACAGGTTTGCTTAACTTTAGTCTATTACATGGTTTACTAGAGAAAAGGATTGGTGGGTCCGATCACTATCGAGTATGGGCAGGAGTCTACCTGCCTGTCATTATCTGGCAGCAAACCTGCCTAAACTCTGATGTTCAAAGGGGCAAATAACAACAAACTAAAGCGTAAACCAGGATTTTACTAAGGTGGCTTTTACCAGTGCTAATGTATTACAATTATCAAATGTTTCCTACAGATGCTGGTGGTCGGTGGCATTGACCGTGTATACGAAGTGGGCAGGCAGTTTAGAAATGAAGGAATTGACTTGACTCACAACCCCGAGTTCACGACCTGTGAATTTTACATGGCCTATGCAGATTATCACGACCTCATGGAAATCACTGAGAAGCTGCTGTCAGGTAAGACTTTGCCTTAGTATATTCAGCAGACACTTGCAGGGTTATTCACAAAAGGGTGAAGAGTTTGGAGAAGGCAGGAGAAGTGAACAATCTAGGACAACATAGCTGATTTGGAAATAGTTTTCAGTTCAGCTCACTTTCCAGTTCAGCTATGTTGCCCTAGATTGTTCACTTCTCCTGCCTTCTCCAAACTCTTCACCCTTTTGTAACTAGCCCTGTTAGTTTTTATTCAAGGCCACCGTGCTTTTCATAATTTGAGTTCTTTATAGTAGTTTACATCTATAGTGTAGTTTTGTGAAGTGTTCTTTATTCTTGTTGAAGCCCTTTATTCTACCTGGGTAGTACAGCTCCCACTGTACTCCTGAGCTCACACTGACATCAGTGAGGCTGCTAAGGATAGACTCCAGCGCCAGTGTCTTGTCTCCATTGCCTATGTGCACTTTGCTAATCGCAAAGCCACAGTATTATACTTCAACAGAGCCACGTTGACCACATGGGTGAAGGTCAACTTGACAGTCTCCTGTATTGCGGTCAGCAGTCCGCTCTAGATCCTTTCTCGGACGTCTGTTTCCTCTTGGCAGTCGCCGCTTAACCGTGGATCCCTCGCTCTGCAGCTTTAGAAGCAACATATAACTCGGCATCAGTGGATCCGCACATGTTGGTGTATTGGAACAAAAGTATAAAACAAAAGGAATCACAACTTAAGATTTAAATGTTTTGGAATTCGGAGGAAATAATTCTATTGTGCTTCTCTTGCAGGGATGGTTAAACACATACATGGTTGCTACAAAATCACGTATCACCCTGAAGGACCTGACGGACCTGGCCAAGAAATAGACTTTACTCCACCATTCAAAAGAATCAGCATGGTGCACGAACTGGAGAAAGTCCTGGGAAAGAAACTCCCTCCAACAGACCAGTTTGAGACTGAAGGTAATGGAAGCTAAAACTGATTTTAATATTAAAGCCCTCCTGTACTTTCATTTTTAAATGAGCTAAATACATTACAAAAAGTGTTCAATGTCCTGCAGTCCATTTTTTTTTTTAAAATGATATCCATAGCCTTAGCTGAAAATTCTGTCCCCTACCAGCATGGTGTGGAGAAGGTCCCTTTCTGTCTCCGTGGAAGCAGTGGTCTCTATGCCCCTCTGCTGCTGTATTTGCTGCAAGAAATCTAATTCAGAGGTTAACATCCAAGTTCATCTATTGGGAATAGAAATGCATATTTTTAACTTTATTACTACTCTAAACCCTCATTTTTTTGCATATATCTACTGCTAGCAAGCAGTAGATGTATGCAAAACGATAAAAAAAACCTTTTGCGGAGCATCTGAACATCTGAAAAGTCCTCGGCTGGCCGCAAAGGATCTTTGGGCGGGCGCATGCACAGTTCAGATGTTCGGCCAGGAGAGGAGGAGAGACACAAGGTAAGTGTATGGAGCAGCGTGCACCCGCGTAGACACCGTGGGACATGAGCGAAGAGGAGGACAGAGGAGTCAGCGCTTGATCAGAAACCCGCACCAGTGCTGGAGGGACAGCTGAAAAATACAGGAGAGAAGAATTTCGGATTAAGAGGCATCATTTATGCTAAGTCCTTACTTTAGCACGTCGGGGGGGACTCTAGCCTTTATCACTTTAAGGATAGGAATGTTTAGTTATTTGACCTGGAACAGGTAGGCAGCAAAAATGAAGTCCTAGCAAAGTTGGAACTCCTGGTCTGCTTATTGTGAATGTTATTAAGGATTGGAAAGATCTACCAAATGACCAGGGCAACAGGATATTTCCATGCATTTATGAGCTCTGCTGCAGCATCCATATTATAATCAAATCATAGTCCACTTTAGGGCCTCTGGGGGGTCCAAAGCCTCTTTGTTAGATGCAGCAAGCAGACACACAAACTGCAAGGGGCTTTTCTTGCCATTTTATTCCCTCCTTTACTTGTAAGTATTTGAACGGCGGTCTATAGCCTTGCCCAGAGTTGCCCTTTTTAAAGGTATACTGTTAATGAAGTTTTGATAATTTTGTTATAAACTGCATTTCTTTTGCTTTAGGATGCCGCATTTGAGTTTACTGTCATATTTTCCTTTCTTACTGGACTTTGGTATTGATCAGTTATTTGTTTTTAATTCCAGCGACCCGTAAGATGCTAGATGAAATCTGTGCGGAGAAGGAAGTTGAATGCCCAGCTCCGAGGACCACCGCAAGGCTACTTGACAAGGTAAGGTTTCTACTATGCCTGATCATATTGGAGTACTAGCAAAGATTAAAACGATGACAAAACATAATGGGGGGGGGGAATTTATCAGAACTGGAGCAGACAAAAACTGGAGCTGATGTGCATGGCAACCAATCAGCTTCTCTCTTCAGTTTGTTCAGTTAAGATTTGAAAATGATACAGAGAAGCTGATTGGTTGCCATGTACATCTGCTCCAGATTTTGTCTGCTCCAGTTTTGATAAATTCCCCTCAATGTATAATTTCAAAGGAGTTTACCCAGCCCACAGCAGTGTTTTGGCTGTTGAAGATCTTTGTTGCACCATGGCTGGAAAAGGGTCCCAGAAGGAGGAACATTGTCTAGTGCTGGATCAATACATTTGCTTAAAACAGAATTCCAGCTTAAAAAAAAGAAAAAGAATAGCTCAACTTAAAAACAGAAAAGCTGTTTTTTTTGTTTTGTTTTTTACTGCAATACTCACCTTCTGCATAAGATCCTCTCTGCCACTAGATTTTGCCAGCATCAATTAACCCCTCTTCCTGTGAGCCTAAGCTGACAGGGATTGTCCCCCCTGGGGGTACATCTAAAAACCAGAAGCCTTGCTGCACTCCTTACCGGAACATCAGAAAAACCCGTGCAAACAGGTGGGTGCTTGTAGTGACCACAGACGGCACAGAGAAGAAATGATGTCACCAGCACACCATAAGAGTAATTAGCAAAAGTCCATTTAGTGACACATTGCCATTCCATACAAGTATACATAATTTCTTCCCTGGGGGTACATCATCGCAAAAACTTGGGCTCAAAGTATAATTGCACTGAATGGGGTCCCACAAATTTTGTAAACTCTGTTCAGTGCTGGAGTAAGGACCTCCCTCACCCAACAGAGGAGGAACTACAAGGTCACCAGATTGGCCTGAAGACTGCTTTGTCCGGACTTGGGAGATTTTTCCCTTCAACAAATAGTGGAAAGCCCCGACATGCCCTCCCTGATGTAGAACGGTTAATGCCCTTTGCTTTCAGTAAACCCAGGAGCCATCGGTTCCTAGACTTTATCAGAGCCAGACCAAGGCTGCCGCAACACCGGAAGCTGCTTGGTTTAGAAGTTATTTTTGTTACCCTCCCAACCAATTATAATCGAATGCAGTGTTTCTCAACCTTGTTTTCTCTTTTTTTCAGTCACTGCACCTTTTAAAAGCATGAAAGATATAAAGTTTCTTCCCCTCTGCCCCTTCTGTCCATCACAAGACCCCTTCATGTAAGACTTCAACCTCCTCCCTCTCTTAGCAAAAATTTGAAGACACCCCTTGAAAAAGCCAGAAGGCACCCCGGGATGCACCCTGGTTGAGAAAAGCTGCTCTAATGTGTCATATTCATTATTAAACAAACATGGCCACTATGCTGATCCCAGCCGAATAATTATTTGGTCTATGGCTGTGACGTGTCGTCGGGGCACTGTCACACTGGCAGGCTACAGGGGCACTGTCACACTGGCAGGCTACAGGGGCACTGTCACACTGGCAGGCTACAGGGGCACTGTCACACTGGCAGGCTACAGGGGCACTGTCACACTGGCAGGCTACAGGGGCACTGTCACACTGGCAGGCTACAGGGGCACTGTCACACTGGCAGGCTACAGGGGCACTGTCACACTGGCAGGCTACAGGGGCACTGTCACACTGGCAGGCTACAGGGGCACTGTCACACTGGCAGGCCACAGGGGCACTGTCACACTGGCAGGCCACAGGGGCACTGTCACACTGGCAGGCCACAGGGGCACTGTCACACTGGCAGGCCACAGGGGCACTGTCACACTGGCAGGCCACAGGGGCACTGTCACACTGGCAGGCCACAGGGGCACTGTCACACTGGCAGGCCACAGGGGCACTGTCACACTGGCAGGCCACAGGGGCACTGTCACACTGGCAGGCCACAGGGGCACTGGCAGGCCACAGGGGCACTGTCACACTGGCAGGCCACAGGGGCACTGTCACCCCGGCCAGGCCACAGGGGCACTGTCGCAAAACACAAATCCTGTCCATGTTTCTTGCCGTAGTGGCTGTGGTTGGGTACTGGTAGCTGGAGGGAGCCTGGAGCTGCTGGGAGGTAAGATGCAGCTTTTATTAGCAGTTGGGATTAAAGATTGGATGGAGGGTGCTTGGAGGTGCTTAGATTGATACCAGTTGGACCCACTCTTATATCTTAAAAAATTTCAATTCTTTACCATGTTTCTTTGTGTGTTTCAGTTGGTCGGTGAATTCCTGGAGGTCACATGCATTAATCCAACTTTTATTATTGACCATCCTCAAATCATGAGCCCTCTTGCCAAATGGTAGGATTCTGACCTGATCTTTTCTGGAACTTTTCCCTTTTGATAATGGATTGTTTTCTCTACTGGTGACCCTAATGTGACATTGTTCTTGTGTGCCAGGCACCGGTCAGAAAAGGGGCTGACGGAAAGATTTGAGCTATTCATTATGAAGAAAGAGATTTGCAATGCCTACACTGAAATGAACGACCCTATCCGGCAGAGGGAGCTGTTTGAAGATCAATCTAAGGTAAAAAGTGACTCGCAGAGGAAAAATTCCTGATGGAACATAAGCTAGATTGACATTTATTAAAGTATATCTATTACCAAAGCCCAAACTGTAGCATGTTGCAGCGTACCAGTCCTTGGGGCTTGTTCGCACCATGTCCGTATCATGTCCAGACCAGAACAGTTTGTTTCCCCGACCAAAAAAAGCATCCCAATGTATCCCTATGGTATTTCTGGGCTCTGTTCACACCAACGCTGTCTGTTCCGGACCAGGCAAAAAAAAAAATACTGCTTGTCTCATTTTTTTCTGGTCTGGAACGCATCAAAAACACATGCGAACGCAATGGACCACACCTGAAAGCCCATTTTAAGCTAAAAAGATATTTTTCTGTACTTGCAGTAAAGTACGTAGTCACACATGCAGGTTGCTACAAGTGATCTGGGCGGCCGCACAGATTGGGGGTAATTCAACTTTCCCAAATTTGCCTGGGAGGTGGAATTACCCTTTAAATGGCTGGGTGACATTTGAAGGTCCTATTGTTATTAATTTTTCCATTGATTGTGCTGTGGGGTATAGGCTGCTGCCCCAAGGCCAGGTTCCTCAATGCGCCCCCCTACCCCCACAACCACCCCCCCCCCCCCCCGATGGAGAATGGCAGACCTGCAGATTGCATACAAGTGATCTCGGTGACATCGCTGGGATCACTTGTACATAACAAGCGGCGGCTTCCTCGCTTCACATTTAGCTCTGCTTGCCCAAAGCCGGGCTAAATCTAGAAAACACCTACCCACCTGGCATCCGGAACTACATGTCCCGGGCATCGGGAGATAGGAATTCCACACCCCTGCTGCCCCTCTACTCCCTGCTGCCCCAAGGCCTAGCCTCGGCCTTGTGGGAAATCCGGCCCTGGGTATAGGCTGTACAGACCAGCACAGAATACCCTTTGCCCAGCCACAGATACTACCTCTTAAAGAGAGATCCCAATGTATTTTTATGCCAACATAAAGATGTTCAAATCTGATACAAACTGTTCTCTTTGGCTGTATTCCAGGCCAAAGCAGAGGGTGATGACGAGGCCATGTTTATCGATGAAAACTTCTGCACTGCTCTGGAGTATGGGCTGCCCCCTACAGCTGGTTGGGGAATGGGCATTGACCGCCTTACCATGTTCTTGACCGACTCTAACAACATCAAGGTACGTAGGATTTGATGGAACACTTGGATGGTTTGTGGGCTTGTTCTGTTCCCAGTTATCTAATATCCACCTGTCCATTCTTCCAGGAGGTGCTCCTGTTCCCTGCCATGAAGCCAGAAGACAATAAGAAAGACCCGGCACCCAGCCAGAGCTCTGGAACATCTGTGTAACCTCATTTTATCTGCTTTTAGGGTGTTTTTGTCTGTGGCTCTGTCTGCACCTAGATGCAGCTCATTCTACTTTATACTGAAAATAAATTATGAAAATGTTCCACGTCTGGAATGGTCTTATTGGGGTGTGTGTGTGGTGGTAATGGAGGGCGGGGAGAGGCACAATATATTATGCTTATCTAGATCCCTGATTAAAAGACCGTTTTGCTCAACTGCCATTCTTCTGTCCAACCAGATTGGCCATATTGGCTATGAGGTGCTCTCATTAGACAAGGGGAATGGCAGTTGTGGGGCTTAGCCCTGGAGTTGGAGAAATTGGGCCTCTCAAGGCCTCATTCACACGAGAATCGGCCGCCACGTACAGCTGCGTGCACGGCCGTATCAGGCAGCTCCTGGGAAGGACAGTTGCTGCGGTCCGATTGGCTGTTTCCAATAATTTATACAATGGAGAGGAAGGGGGCGCTGTGACAGAACGGACGAGCAGTGAGGGAGGGAGAGGCGCCGGCTGTCAGATCCTGGCCGAGCGTCTCTCTCTCCTCACTGCTCTGCATTAGTTAGTGACAGCGGCTCCGTCCTCCGCCCTCCCCCGCCGCTGGTTCCTTTACTTCTCGGATCCCCACTGGGGAGAGCAGCGGGGATCCAGAGAAGCGACGGGAGGAGAGGACATGGCGATCTACCAGTGATCGCTACGCGATCGACTGGTAGATCGCGATCAACCTTGTGGGCACCCCTGCCCTAAGGGATACAGGAAGTATATTGCGTTCCAAGTTATACTGCCACCTACAGGAAAATTGGACACTGGCAAACAAAAAACAAGCCAGCCCAGGATAAGCCCTCCTACTACCAGCATGCCTCAGTTTTTTTTGCTTGTGTTCTAGGAGGAAGGACATCTTTTCTTCACCTCTGCATTGCAAAAGACAAACCTATGTTGCTGGCAGTATTTCTTTCTTCTCTTTAACTTTTTCTTCAGTCTTGCATTGCCGCATGGGATTTGTAGTTTCACCAGAGTTTGAGAGCCGAGGTTGCCTACCCATTATCTAGATCAGGGGTAGCCAAACTCCGGCCCTCCAGCTGTGGTGGAACTACAAATCCCATGAGGCATTGCAAGCTTCTCACAGCCACAGACATGACTGCCGGAGAAAGATGCATCAAGGGATTTGTAGTGTCACCAAAGCTGGAGGGCCGGAGTTTGGCTACCCCTGATCTAGATGATCACATGTTGCTGCTGCTGATCGTTAATGATCACACAATGCTAAATTGTTTATGACCAAACACAAAGCTATATAGGTGTACTCCGGCCTAACCTTTTGCAGGCAATTGAGAGTAATCAGTTGTAACACAGGAGAGGACCTCCTACTACTAGTACGCATTACTGTAAATTACCTTCAAACCTGCATCTTCTCAGTATAACCCTTTAAACCTGCAGCAGCTATCTTGAACCCCTCCCCACTTCATTTCCTGCATAAACGGCTTCAATCTTGATCAGTCCTCCTCTCCTCTTCCTAATCTGTACTGTCCTTGCCTGTCTCTCAGAGCTATTTACTTTCTCTGCCATCAGTCATTTTATTGTTGCGCTTAATGGGAAAGAACAACTCTTCCCAATCCCTCTGCATGCATGCTCAAGCAATTGATAAGTAGAGTGCATAGCTAAAGTCTGACACGTGCGTTCAATGCTATGCTGGGGATGTGTTCTTTCATATAAATGCAATCCAAGGCAGAATGCTGTGAGATTTACAGGAGCCTGCCAGTCCCTCCCACCAAATGCAAAGAGCAGCAGATGGACCCAGTGATGACGTCACTGGGTCACAAAATTGCTAAATTTTGAATTTCATATTGATTGCGGGTGATTACCTGTCTCTAACCACAAGTAAGTCGCTCTGAACACGGGCAGACTGCTGTGGCCGCTGTCTGTCATTGCTTTGTCCAGGCTGAGTGGCCACAGCGGAACATCGCCACCAGTGATTCCTGCTGCAGCAATCCGCACCCAGGCCTGAAAGCTTCGTGTGCATTAAGCTTTCATGAAGTGCAACTGAAGGCAAAACTTTTATAGATGAGAAACCTTCCAATCAGGGGTGTCCCAAGGCCGGGTGTCACCTGGAGCAGATACTGGGTGACACCCTGCCATGATGTAATCGCGCATGCGCGGCTATCTTTGTCATACCTGCCGGCTGTCATCTTGGTGATGGACGCTGGCAGAGAAAGGAAGGGACGTACGCCGGGTTCCCTCCTCTCTCCTGAAACTCATGGACCGAGAGCCCGACTTTTCAGAGGGGGTGACACCAAAATGACTGTCGGTCCTTTTGGTGTCACCCCTCCAATGGTGTCACCTGTGTGTGGGCCTCACCGCCCTTGTGACGCCACTGCTTCTAATGGGATCCTGTAGGTGTCCCGCTGCATTCCTTACCGGGAACCCCTGGAGATGGGTGCTGCAATGACCGCAGATGGCACAGCTGGAATCACTGAGGCAGCAAAGTGTCACCAGAAACAATGGTCAAGTGATCGCCCTTTATTGACGCATGTTGTCACATTGTAGCAATGTTTCGGGGCCACGCAGGGTTCCCTTCATCAGGTTCAGTATGACACAAGTACAAAAATTAATCAACAATATATATACATCCATCAGATATCTTACCCCAATAGCAAAGCAGTAAAAGCACCAGCTCCCAACCCCTGCAATGCCATAATATTTAAATACATGTATCCAAATCATACATAACAAATAGTAAATCAGTATATGTGAGCCCAAAGCAATGTTCCTGTGTGGGGGCACAAATCATAGGACCACATTGTTCAATACTGCGGCCGGCAGATTGTTGCGTCACACCATTTTGTCTGGTGTGCTGGTGACACTTTGCTCACTGATCTTCCAATGGGGACACTAGTTCTGGTGACCCTGCTGATCACCAGGGATTTTCCTCTCTTTGGAAGGATTTCCTCTCACTTCTTGTAGCTATCAGACAGGAAGTGACGGGAAATCTCCCCAGTGAGCCACAGATGGCAAAATATAAATAAAAATGAGGGGTTATAACCTTGCCTTACTCTATCCAAAACTTTTTAAAAAATACAAGTTTTGGCTTCAGTTCTACTTTAATTGCTAAAGTGCATAGTAGCTAGTAGTATTGGTTGGAAGTGGAGGAAGAGCATTAGATTGTAAACTCCTTTGTAGCTAGGGACTGGTTTATTATATTGCACTGCTATATAAATACAGGGATCTAGTAAAATAATCATATATAGACGGAAATTGAAGGTGTGCTTGTGTATAAACATTTTTGATAACACGTTAATCATTTGGATGCAGTTAACTCTGTAGCTGCAGAAACCATGTGACCGCTGTAGCCGAGCAGCGCTGTGCGTTATGGGAGTTGTAGTCCTGTGCGGCCTTCACTCCGTGAGTCATATCCACAACCTGCACTACATTTCCCAGAATTCATCACTCACCTCGCCCGCTATTCTTTTACTTTCCGTTTCTCAAGTCGGTATAGCGGATACGCTTTGATAATGGTGGAAAGGCCACTTCAAGCTTCTCTTGTGAGAGGTTAGCAGACGCTGGCCTTCAGTTTTCCGGAAATACTTGAGCGTGTCAGGCCGAGGGTGACGTAATCAGGAAGGCGACGAGCCTTGGAGCAGCATGTCTGGGTAATGAATGGAAGCAGATAAAGCTACAACTACAAGCATGCCAGGGCAGCTGTAGTGCCTCAGGATGCCTGCACTTGCTCTGGGCTATATAAGGAGAGCTATTTTGTCCCAGCATGGCAGGTTGTAACACCATATATTGTCCTGGCTTGCACTGGGCCATACAGGGACAGCGGTCCCCGCCGCAGCTCTAGAGGCACTACAAGTTCCAGCATGGCAGGATTTAAAGTTGAACTCAGGCCACAGAAGCTTTCATTTAAATATATTCCTCAGTAGTCACAAAGCATATGAATCCACGTTGTATACACAAAATGCCTTTCCAAACCCAGATATTAACTTGTTACAGTAGCAGTGACATCATCACTGTGCTGAGGGCAGAGCTGTGGGAGGGACCCAGCAGGCCCCTCCCACTACAGGCTTCTTGCAGAAAACTACAAGAAGGGGCATAGACAAGACCAGTCACCCTGCTCAAGGAATAAGAGCAGCAGCAACTGGTCTTTATGACAGGAAGCTCCACGTTTCCCACTGGATTACTGCACAGATCTGGAAGAAATAGACACAACACATAAAGAAAGCACATGACATTAAGACAATATTAGCTTATCCCGGAGTTTAGCTTTAACACCACAGGCTTTCCTGGCCTGTATTGGGCCATACATAGATAGCTGGCAGCCCCCTCTTTTTTATTCTGCAGGGCCTCTGCTTTCAGAAAATATATCATTAAGGGTTTTTAAGCTGTTTTCAAGCCAAAAATTCAGATTTTATCATCTTGTGCAACAATTAAAAATTAGCTCTGTACGGGAAGTGGTTAAAGAGAAATTCCAGATAAAACTGATATTTCCGGTCTGGGTGGTCAGTGATGGGCAGGATAAGCTGTTCTTTGATCTCTTATAGACCACCCTGGGGGAATTTCCCAACATTGGTTTGTACCAACTTATCAATCCGCAATCCTTCAGTCATTTGTTTATTATAGGACCACCTGGGGGAATTTCCCAACATTGGTTTGTACCAACCTGTCTATCCGCAATCCTTCAGTCATTTGTTTATTATAGGACCACCTGGGGGAATTTCCCAACATTGGTTTGTACCAACCTGTCTATCCGCAATCCTTCAGTCATTTGTTTATTATAGGACCACCTGGGGGAATTTCCCAACATTGGTTTGTACCAACCTGTCTATCCGCAATCCTTCAATCATTTGTTTATTATAGGACATCACTGAAGGAGTGTGACATCATCATTTTGGAATTCTGGGGGGGATATCCCGTCGTTGGAGTCCCTGAGAATACTACTGAACTACCCTGTTTCCCCGAAAATAAGACCTACCCTGAAAATAAGACCTAGTACTATTTTTGGGAATTGCTAAAATATAAGACCTACCCCGAAAATAAGACCTAGTTGTGACCATTCCCAGGGCCGGTGGTGGCAAAAGGGAGAACTTGAAGAGCCGCGGGAGAGAATCAGCGGTGCCAACGAAGCCAGCGCTAGAGGAAGCGAGGCGGCAACGCAGGGAGCAGAGCCACATAAGCCGATGTTTCTTCTATAGCGCCGGCTCCTAGCGGAGTGATACCAAATGCACTCCGCCTGTGATGAATCGATAGTGAAAGCTCGCTTCGCTCATTTCTGGCCAGGGATTGGTTAACAAATTGCTCTTGGAAAGGGACGGCACCCCTGATTGCCCTGATCACCCTATTCTTGACTTTGGCATTTTGGATTATTTAATTTGGATTTGCGTTAACTTTGGATTGTTATACATTAAAAAAATAAGACCTACCCCGAAAATAAGAACAAGTGTGTTTTTTTGAGCCAAAACAAATATAAGACAGTGTCTTATTATCGGGGAAACACGGTATATGGTTTGGTTGGAGTCGGCCTTTCATCCTTTCGCTGCTGTCACTGCCATAAAGCTTACAATGGCGGCGGCAGCACATGCAGACTTGCTTAAGCAATCGGGAGCTTGTTTACCCTTATAAAGCCAATTGTCAGCTTTCTATTGGAAGTAATTTGTATAGCCACCAGGACATGCCGCGCCCCCCCCC